CATATCCCCTCTCGTCACAGAATCTGATCTCCATGACAGACATGGAGCTCCCGCCACGAGCTCCAGCTGCACAGTTCCCATTGGCCGGGAGCTGCAGGGCCGGTGCCTCCAGGCAGCGGCAACATGCAGATATCCCTGGACCCTCTGCCTATGAGCTGCAGGAACATGGCAGCCTCTTCCGGAGAGCGACCCCCCCCCCCCAGTAAGCACCGCACTGCACCGCACCCCAGCCCTGAGCCGTCTCTCACACCCAAACTTCCCCAACAGCAGCCAATGCGACTGGCCCAGGGGCTGTCTGATCTGCTCGGGCAGCCCCAGAGCCAGCTGCACCAGCCGCTGCAGAAGTCACGGAGGTCAGGGAAAGTCACAGAATCTGATCTCCATGACAGACATGGAGCCTTAATTATGACTGAGGAGAAGGTCAATCACCATCTTGATGGAAGACTGTGGGTGAGAGAGGCTATCTTAAAGCTTTGAACCAAAACTTGCTAGATTAAGTTTTAGATGTTTTCACTTGTTTTTGCTGGTAGCCATTTCTAACTATCTCCTATACTTGAATTCACTTAAAATCCTATCTTCTTTTGTTAATAAATGCATTTTATTTTTAATCTAAACCAACCCAGTGCTGTGTGTAAACTGAACTGTTTGTTAACTCCAAGTAAAGTAGCAAATTGTTGAATATTGACTCCTTAAAAGGGCAATAAACATTAATATCACTCTGTTTGTTCCAGGACAGGAGTGGACATTTCAGAACACACATTTCTGGAAAAATTTGGGGTTAGCAGAGTGTGGTGTCACCATACCAGTTGTTAACCAAGGTTGCTGGAAATCTGTAATATTGCAGGCAGGCTCCAGGATCCAAAGATTTGGACCAGGGCTACCCGGTACATAGACGGATTGCATGCTTGTTGCTGACTGTAGGTGTCCCAGGGAGAGAACCACAGTGGCAAGGCATTGTGAGGCACTCAGTGTTACAAGATAAAAGGTGACAACTTTTCACTAGTCTGGATTGCATAGATGCTGAGTTTCTAATCTGCCGGGGGGTGCTCCCCCTAGGCCCTGTCCCCACTCCAACCCCACCCCTGCCCAGTTCTGCCCCCTCCCCCGAGCATGCTGCACCTTCGTGTCCCCGCCTCCCCCAGCACCTCCTGATGCCACAAAACTACTGATCCGTGCCAGGCAGTAGGTGCTGGGAGGAAGGGGGAGGCACTGATTTGCAGAGCCCGCCGGCAGACAGAAGGTGCTGGGTGGAGGGGGCGGTTCTTGTAGGGGGGCTGCTGGTGGGTGCTTAGCACTCACCATTTTTTTCCCCATGGGTGCTTCAGCCCCAGAGCACCCACAGAGTTGGCACCCATGGTGGATTGCACCCCAGACTGTGCACCCAGACAATAGGTGCTGGCTCACATTGTGGTGGAAGTCTATGAGGGAGTTCAGGCCATCTGTCCAAAGAATGAAAATATCATTGATGTATTTCAGGCAAATCAGTGGTTTTGTGGTGCATTTTTCCAGAAATACTTCCTTGAGGTGGCCTTTGAAAAGGTTGGCATATTGGGGAGCTGTTCCAGTACCCATTGCTGTTCCCATGGTTTCTACAAAGTATTTCCTGTTGAATGTAAAATTTTTATGGGTGAAGATGAAATGGCTGAGTTTGGCAATGTATTTAGGGTGGATTTCTGAGTGTTGCCCATTGTCTTGTAGATATTAGAAGCAGGTAGTGATGCAGTCCTGGTGAGGGATGTTGATGTAGAGGGAGGTGACATCCATGGTAGCAAGGATGGTGTTTTGAGGAAGGTTGTTGATGTTACAGAGTTTCTGATGGAAGTCGGTTGTGTCCTGGAGGAAACTGGCTCTTTATGTGGTGAGTGGTTTGAAGATGGTTTCTATGAGTCCTGATATTCCTTCAGTAAGAGTGCCATGACCAGATATGATGAGTCTGCCTGGTTTTCCCTTGTTTGTATATCTTGGGCAGCATGCAGGTCACTGGTGTGGGTCTGCAGAAGGGGATGAGGTTGTAGAGTTTCTCTTGGAGTTGTTTTGTGAAGGGTTTGATGATATCCTTAAATTCCTGGGTGAATTGTAGTGTGGGGTCTTATTTGAGTACTTTATTGTGAGTGGCATTGAAGAGTTGTTGGTTGTCATCATGGAGAGAGTGTGGTGTTTGTTAAGGATTTCACAGTTGATTTTTTTTCCTGAAGCAATCAGTGTAATGATCAAATGTGTAGTTTCATCTGCTCTGAGGGATCCAGTCAGATTCTTTTTTCTGTGACAGTTGGGGGAATATGGAATTGTGGGTGGTGTCATCTTTGTGAAATAATTCTTTGAGGTGACATCAAAGGAAGTATGATAACTGAGGCAAACTAGAATTCTATCAAGTTCTATGATGGGGTGGAAATTCAGTCCCTTGGAAAGTATACATAATTCAACTTGGGGTAGGAGTAGTCTTGATAAATTGATGTTGTGTAACCCACTAACCCTCCTTTGTCCTTTGACTGCAGGTGTTAACTGCCTACTTCCCCTTGAATGGTCTCTTGTAACATGTGTTAATTCCTCATGCTCAACAACATGTCCTACCTTGAATTTAGCTGTGACACTCTGAGGGACCCTTTCCTAAACCTCCGAAGAAGTGGGCTGTAGTCCACAAAAGCTTATGCTCTAATAAATTTGTTAGTCTCTAAGGTGCCACAAGTACTCCTGTTCTTTTTGCGGATACAGACTAACACGGCTGTTACTCTGAAGCCTTTCCTAAACCTGGAGCAGAGCTTTGTGTAAGCTCAAAATGTTGTCTTTCACCAATAGAACTTGATCCAATAATACATATTACCTCACCCACCTTGTATGTCTAAATAAAAGGATTCTAGCCGAGTGTTACTTAGGCTGATATTGTTCAATTTAAGTGGGCCCAATAATGCTTGAAGTTTACCCCAGTACGACTAACCTAATCAGATGTTTGATTTCATGTACTTTTGATGGTGTTATTTTTCTGGAGACAGTTATACAGTACTGGGAAGATGTAATCACAATCTTCACTTTGTTATTGTATGAAAATTCATCTTGTTTTTTATTACTGAAAGTTTCTGAAACTTTTTTTAGAAGTCCATTAATTTCCTGTTTATTACAATAGAAAGTTAAAAATATGGGGAAAAAAATGAGATTCCCATCCCTACTGAAATGCCACCACCAAAACAAGCTCAGCCCCTCCCCTCAAAACCAAGAACTTTTAAGAGTCTCTGAAGTGTTTTTTATATGTATGTCACCAATGGCTAGAAACCCTTTAGAAAAATAAGATTAAGGATATAAAGTTGTTCCTTATCTTCCAGAAGGATTTAAGTGAGGAAGAAATTTCACATTTAATGAAACTATATACACATTCCATTTAAGCAGTCAACAGGGCTGCCAATATAGTAGACCCTCAGAGTTATGAACACCAGGGTTACGAACTGACCAGTCAACCACACACCTCATTTGGAACCAGAAGTACACAATCAGGCAGCAAAGACCCCCCAAAAAAAAAATTACGGTACAGTACTGTGTTAAATGTAAACTGCTAAAAATATAAAGGGAAAGTTTAAAAAAAAAAAAACTAGACAAGGTAAGAACTGTTTCTGTGCTTGTTTCATTTAAATTAAGATAGTTAAAAGCAAAATTTTCCTTCTGCATAGTAAACTTTCAAAGCTGTATTAAGTCGATGTTCAGTTGTAAACTTTTGAAAGAACAATGATAATATTTTGTTCGGTTACATACAACCTCTATTCTCGAAGTGTTTGTAACTCTGAGGTTCTATTTTACTACCAATTTCACTCTTTTCAGAGTTTACAAAATAATTCTGTAAGGTGTACATTAAGAGATGGAGTCAATATTATACACATTTCTCATTGATCTTTACTAATATAAAGCTATCAGAAGAAATTCAAAATTACCTAAAAAATGTTGACTTTTGTATAATTACCCAATAAACTTCCCATTGAAATAAACTGATAGACAGAGAAATCTTTTCGCTTCCCTTCAAAATAGTGGTAGCAATGGCATATATGCCCCAATGTTTCCTCCCCATAATTCACTCTTGTTTCTACTTATAGGTCAAATGCTTCCTTTAGATACACATAAAGAACCCCACTGCAACTTGGAGAGGAGGGATTTGGCCTTATGTATGCTGGTAGATTTCAAACCTTTCTGCAAAGAATCATGGTTTTACCTCCAGTTAAACTGTGGAAAGTTGCAGCTGGCAACTGCTCACCATTTCTGATATTGCCATCAATGATCTGCTGTGACTCCTATGCAGCTAGAAGATAAAAGTGGTGACCTCAAAGAACATAGAAGAGACTTGAAGTGTCTTGACTCCTCTTAACAGCTGTAACCAGATGGAGAAACTTCATCATTTCCTTATTTTGGAGGATACTCAGCATGAAGAGCAGATCAAGGGAGAAGTTTAAACATTTTCAGGGTTATCTACTATAAATATCAGTTATGAAAATATTCTTGCCTAGTAAAAATCTGAAATACAGAGTACTAATTTTTTTTATTTAAAGAACCAAAACAACACATTTAACAGAGGTTTTGTGATTTTTATTTTTGAACCCCAAACTATCTGGCAGTGAGGAAAGTATTGTAAAAACTCAAAGATATAGTGCAGCCATTATAAGGGAGTATAAAAAGAGGAAACACTTGGTTCCCATGAAATTATACACAGCAGTCTGAAAAGCCCTGGACACATGTATGGAATTCATCTTGCACTTTTAAAAACATTGTTACAATAATGTTATACATAAAAGAAATAAATAGTAACATTTCAGTTTAACTTGCCCATTCCATTTGTCATGCAGTTCTATTTGTAGAACATTACGGTATGAAGAACACCTGCCACACAGTGTAAAACTTTTTACAACATAAAGGCAATGTTCATGTTTGAGCTTCTCTTTGGCATATTGTTCTACAATATATTTAACTAATTTATGCAAAACACAGATCTTACAAAGTTTTATGTGATAACTACATAATAAAGAATGAGTAAATGGCAACATAGGATATAAGCTGGAGCGTGGGACGGGACCAAAAGACCCATTCAATTGTTGTGTGGGGGTTTTGATCAGCATTTTCACTGGGGACTCCTCAAATTAGCAAACAGCTAATCAAGTTAATGCAGGGCCTTCCCTATACCTCTAAGTCAGGTAACTGCCATGCTGTGTTCCACACCCAGGACATGAATCACACAGGGAGCAAGGGCATGTCTACATTGGCCGTGCACAGTAAGATGGGATGTAAATCTACAGCACACTAGCCTGCTACACAATAACTGGCCACCATGCACTAAAAGTTCCACAGTGTGCCACAGAACTCCTGCTACAAACAGCTCCCATCTCTATGTTCAGGTGGTGGTGTCACCCTTGGTGTTCTGGAGGATAGCCCTGGCTGGTGCCACCAGAATTGATCTGAGACATTGGGTGGACCCTGTGGTGCTCGGCCAGTGCATGGGGCTGCCCACCCTGCATCTCCACTGTTGTGTGCTCTGGGAAGTGAGGGCAGCCTTGGCTCCTGATTCTGACTTTCCTTGAGTGGGTCCTGCATGAGTGTGCTTTGTGTCCACTCCCTCATCTCTGGCCCTCCAGAACTCATTATCGGGCCCCTGCTCTACGAGCCTCCCCGGCTGCCCCCAACATGCCACCTAAGTCAGCTGAATAACATCCAGCTGGTCTGCCTCCAAGCTGTGCCAAGAGAATATCTGTAAGCGCTCATGCTTCATACTATTCACTTCCTCACCCTTGCGTCCCATCCAACACCAAGTGAAGGAACCTATTGTCACCTGCGGAGGGTGAAGAACCCTGGAGGGCCTGTCTGTACTCCATTGTAGTTCCATGGCCCACCAGAGATATTAATTGGCAACTCCTACATGGAGTTGTGAGCACAGGCATGTACTGGCATGGTTCACAAACTCTTCTGATACAGGTTCCTTTTACAGCAACCCTTGAGATCTATGTAGAGTGCATCAGGTTGCAGCCCCTCTTGTGGAGCATCCAGAACCTCCTCCTGAGGTTCTGGCTGCCCCTTTTCCCCACACCTCCTGACTTTTGTACACTTAATCCATGGCTCCACAAAGTCATGGGACCTCCTTGTCAACATCTTCTGGACACTAGCCAAGATGGCCATCTATCACTCCAAGAGGAGGAAGCTGGATGGGGTGTGTGTGGGGGGGTGCTCTGCTATTGTGGGGCCTTTTTATTGTCCCTTGTCTGCTCACATCTCCAGGCGGAGTTCCTCTGGGCAGTGTCCATTGTTTCCTTGGATGCCTTTGAGAAGCAGTGGGTGCTCTCTGGGATTCTCTGCGCTGTTTCCCTGGATTTTCAATCTTTAACCTCACTCCTGTTCCTCTTTTCTCCTTTGCTGTCCCCAGCAATCAATTGTAGCCTGGACTTAGTGGCTCCTTCCCCTATAATTGGGGGGGGGGGCAGGGGGAGAGAGAGCGGGAAGAGAGCTTTAGTTATGGGCAAGCCTAGCTCTGTCTGTTTTAGTACTACAAATATTACACACCTCAACTTCTGCAACAAATGGGCATAGGCACAATTAACTCTGGCATTTCCCAATTTTTGAGTGCGTGACTAACTTTAATTATGCTCTTTTAACATAGGAAATTACACATGGAACATTAGGGTTTTTTTAAAAAATAGAAATTCCATCAGGTGACATCATATGGACATCCAGGCAGGCCATCAGCAGAGTTGGCAACTTTAGCTTCAATGCAAAGACCCTCCACCACTTGAGCTAATGGAGTAACTGACAGCAATAGTAGTTTGTCATCTTCTATGTGGACCCGCACAAGGAGTGAATGGGCTACTTTGCAAGTGGGTTACACAGATATTTGCTTACAGCAGAGAACTGATGAGATTCCAAGAGTCTTGGGTTCCATTCCAAGCTCTGGAGGGGAGTGTTCTCTAGTAGGCACAGACTCTTCTGCCATCCCCACAGTCTGCCTCCTTCTGCCCATCCCCTCCAATCTGTCCCTGTCCTGGATCTTCTTTACTCCTGTGGCTGGGGCAAGGAGCCACTCTCCATGCTGTTCCAGTATCTTTGCTCAGCAAATCCTAGTCCAGGGTGGGCAAACTTTTTGGCCCGAGGTCTACATCTGGGTGGGGAAATTGCATGCAGGGCTATGAATGTAGGGGCTGGGGCAGACAGTTGGGGTGTGGGAGGGGTGCAGTGTGCAGGAAGGGGTTCAGGGCAAGGGGTTGGGGTGCAGGAGGGGGGCGGGGTGTACAAGGGGGCTCATGGCGGCAGGAGGGGTTTGGAGTATGGGTTCTGGAGTGGCAGCGGCGCGCATCAGAGCCAGGGCAAGATCCCTGCCTGCGCTGGCTCCGCACCACTCCGGGAAGTAGCCGGCACCACGTCCCTGCGGCCCCTGGGGGAGGGGAAGGCAGTGGGCTTCAGATCCGGCCCACGGGCCATAGTTTGCCCACCCCTGTCCTAGTCTGACCTTTTCAAAATCCCTCCTCCCATCCCCATTCCTCCCCCTAGCTCCTTGCCCACCCAATCCCAGCTGCTGTGTCTCAGTCCCTCCACTATTTCTCTCCCTTGTCCCAGTCTGTTACCCACACCCCCATGTTCCCATCTACTCCCCCTCTAGGGTCGGCTCTTGTCCCCTCTGCATTTGAATCAGGCAGCTTCTTCCTCCAACTTGCCTAGGCCCAGCAAGGGGGTTGTCTTTGAAAGCACAGCAGTGACAGGCTCCCTACTCTCATTTCAGCTGCTCGAGAGCTAAACTTTCACAGAAAGCCCTGCTCAGCTATGGGCCAGAGCATGCCCAGTGCACACAAAATCTTTGGGGAAGTTAGCTGCTAAAATCTAAGAAGTTTACTTAAGTATGTGCAAAGTGCAATTTTTCACAGACTTATAACTTGCCCAGACTTGGGTGGATTTTTCACAAAGACACATCCCCGACACAAAGACCACCGCACACCCAAATTTGGAGTCCTTGCTCCAAAGCACAGGGCACTAGAGATTTTTTCAAGGAAAAGGTTGCTAGCATTTTTTTTTAACATAGGCCAAACAATGTGTTTTTCCCTAGTGTTCTCTGAAACAGCTGGGAGGGAAAAATAAAATCCACATATGGCAGAGACCCTGAGTGGAAAATTGCAACCCAAATGGTTAAAGTTTGGCAAAGTTATAAGCAACTGATTATAAAGGCAAGTGTCAGTGACATTTCTATTACAGAGCCTATGATTATGCAGAGGATGAAGACTAGGATAAAAAACACTGCAAACTGGCAGGTGTTTTTCTGATAGTTTCTTGGTTCAGCAGAAAGAGAATGGTATGTGCACAGTTTGTTTCCTCCCAATTAGATATTGGTCTCCCTAGATTTCCATCCAGCTTCAGCTCACTAGTACAATCTCTTTAAATTCTCCAGTTTGGATGTCAAAGCCATGCAAATGCACTTAGAGAAGCTGCCACATGCAATATCTGTGACCAGCTTTGTAGGTTCGCATCAGCTCTCATAATGGTCTTAGCAGCAGAGGCCAGAAATATTAAAGCACTGGGCCTACAAAATCAGCCATCTTGACAGCCTGGGCTGCAGTATATTAGCTATATCGTGACTTTTGCAGAAAGGAGAGTCTCAAGAAGACAAGCCTCCTGCTAGAGAGTGACCTTCTTTGGCAGGGATTTGATTCTCTCTGACTGTTGGAATGCATGTGTAAAGTCTCCTATGGTAAATGTCACAGCACATTGCTGATAGAAGAAGCCCCAATAGGAAAACTGTCTAGTTCTAAATCAGGTACCTAACATACACCAGATAGTGAACCTCACTTTGGCAAAATGTCCTCAGATGGGACACAAGACAGACACCTCGACACTCAAAGGTTTAGCTAGAGTGAATTTTTTTGAGTTAGTTTCAAATGGGGTTGACTACCTCAGTGTTACACCAATTAGCTAACCATTTCTTTTCTTCCTGTAAACTTGATATAGTAACAACTTACACTGAAGTGTTTAATAGGCAACCCATACTGAGCATTTCCTGATAGTGAAAGATAATTCCCTAAGACTATTCACTGTCACCTAAACTGAAAATTTCAGTCATAGGTGAACAGCCACTGTAGTAAGGTCCACCAGTGCAAGCCCATACTATAGACAAGCAAAGTTGTGATTTGTACCAGTACAGCAGACCCTACTTTGAAATTGTATGTTGTGAAAAAAATTATAGCATAACAGCTTTGCCCATCTACATTAGAGGTTTCCATCTGTTCAGCCACACTGGTGGCTGGCCACTGAGGCCTGAATCAGGGCAAATCTCCAGTGGAGCTAAGTTAAAATGTAAGCCAGTATGGTTTGAGGACAAGTATGATTTATAATGGTAAAATGTAATAGGGCTAATACAATTAGATCTAGCAAGTGATACTGAGTCATGATAGTGAAGAAAAGATCATAAAGGAAACACTTTAAGATCTTGACTGTATCTAATATTAGTGACACATTTACATAACCAATAAAGTCTACATTTGACTCACCACACAGTTAAATGCTGCATGTAAGAAAAGGAAAGAAACTCATGCAATTTCCATCCTTACTGTGACAGATTCAGTTGTCTCAATGCAATACTCCTCTGAAGAAGAAAGATTTTAGTAGATGAGAAACTTAGTTATCTTGCAATCACTGTAGAGAATATACTTTTAAAACTATTTTTTTTACATATTTATAGCTACTATAATGCGAGAAATAATTTTAGAATAATTAACTTTTCACTGCCACTTTTGTTCAAAAGAGTTTCTGAAGTCATTCTAGCTGTAGCTGATGAACTTGCAGAACAACTGACAAAATATATTTTAAATTTGTAAAGGTATAGGAAGTGCTGTGAAAGTAAAACAAAACAATTCAAATCTCATTAGCTTTATTAAAGTCATGCAGAGATTTAAACTAATTTAAGTTTGTACAATAATCATGTGGACAAAATGTTCATAAACGTTTATGAAGAAGGCTGTAGTCTGAGACGGTTCCTATAATAAATTCAGTGTTCAAGGAAATGTTCTAGATTTCCAGCCAGATTCTATGTGGTTCTAAAAATCTGTACTGAACTGATCAAAATATAGAACAAAAACAATAAGTTCTTTTTTTTTTTTACAACATGAATTAACACACTCAGAAGATAAGTCAGATGACATCAAAGTACTTCCTTAGGATCATTTGCAGAGAATGGCCAACTTTACTTCAGCAGCACAGTTAATACTGGAGATATTTACAGAGTTAACGCCAATATTTACGTGCTGCTAATGTACTGCTGACATCAGGATCATGTTAATTCATAAGTGACATTTCTCTTCAGGAGGATGAAATCCTTGTATTTTTGAGGCAGCACAATATGGCCTGCACCTTTTCAAAACCCACAAACCATTATGTGCTGCTACGTTAGCCCAAGGTGTCTACAAAACGTCAAAGGAGTGAAAGCATAAGCTGTAAGTCAAACCCCACATTTTCTTGTTTAACTTTAACATTAATTTTACAGTATTGACATTAGCTATTTTAATACATTACAAATCCTTCATTAACATCTACTTTTAGTAGTGGACCAATATTCCACTTACAATTAAAGTCAGCTTTAGACTTTTGTTCCTGTCAAGTTAGCACACAGTAACTTTATGGTCCAAATTTCAGATCCTTGTCAAACTAATTAAATGCTGTGGATAGTTCTCTTCTGATTAGAAGTTAAGTTTGATGTCTCTAATGTGCAAACTTCAGTTCATCTTGACATTAAAAGAAAATTTTAAAAATCCCTGAAATGTGTTTCTTCTTTCCCTTGAATGGAAATCTTTTTGATATTGCTATAATTTCAGGGTCACCTTTAACAATACTAGAAGTTAAAATCTAGGTTAAGTAGAACTGTCAGTTTCAAGAGGTGAGCAAGAAACCGTAGGTCATATCTCAAAAGGGCTAGCACCTTAGCATTTACAAGAGATACTCTTGGGCCGGGGGATAGTTTAAGCACCCCAACCCCTTTAGGAAAAACCCACAAGAGTTAATAAGAGTGCTGGCTCTCACTCAGGCCTACTCAACACTAGACAAGGTGTAGAAAAAACTCTCCTACTCTAGAGTCTCTAGACACGGCTTATGCTGGCAAAAGTATTTTCACTGGTATATTAATACCGGTTTCCCAAATAAAATAAGGGCCTGTCTTCACTACCCGCCTGGATCAGTGGGTAGAAATCGATCTCTCGGGGATCGAATTATCGCGTCTTGTCGGGACGCAACAATCGATCCCCAAATCGACGCGCGTACTCCACCAGCGCAGGTAGGAGTAAGCGCCGGCGACAGGGGAGCCGCGGCGGTCGATTTGCTGCCGTCCTCACAGCGGGGTAAGTCGGCTTGGATACGTCAAATTCAGCTATGCTATTCACGTAGCTGAATTTGCGTATCTTAAATCGATCCCCTCCCCCAGTGTAGACCTAG